CACGTTTGATTGGAGAGCTGCTGAGGACTGCGCTTGAGCTGTGGTGATTGCTCTTTAAAGTTTGGGACATTAGCATGCTTTTACCTTGGTTTTCAAACATCTTCACCAAGCTGATTGGCTACTTGTGACGATCTCTGTATCAGTAGGTTTTTTTCCTTTAGAGGTGTGATAATCTGACTGAACTGACTAAAACTCATCAAAAGTGGAGTCATAAAATACTAATCAATAATTGAGCTGAAAGTAATCTGTGTTGGATGTGTGTATAATTAAACAGCAGCCCTTAAGAGCAAGAAATGTATTTTAGGATTTTGAAGTCTGTTCAGGCGTAAGGATTAAAATTAGACGTGCTGATGTTTTTCATATGTTCCAGTGGGATCACAGCGAGGCAACACCTATAAAATAACACTCCAGACAAACAGCTGTGCATATATAAAAACAGGCCTAAAATAACTGAATATATTTTAAAAGCTGTTGCTACCATAAGCCTCTTTTAAAGTTGGAAATAAACAAAAACCTGCATGACTTGGTTAACCTGATGGTTTCTTTGTTTTCAATCTAGAGTAGCAGCAGCTCATCAATGCTGATTTTCCAGCAGTGCAGTGAAGTCTGGGCTGCTGCTCATTCAAACCTCTCTGTTGGAGTATGTATAATATAAGCAAGAGCTTTATTTCTAACAAAATAAAGAATGACTGAAAAGTCTGCACTGCGTTACTCCACTACAGGGCTTTTCCAAGGCTGACACTTTGCGCCCCTCCTTAACAACCAGTGCCAGTGAGTTTTAGCTGTGGGTTACTACTTGAGCCCAGTTTAGTTTGGCTTGAACTTGTCTGTTTTTTTAGCAAATTGGCACCATTAGAAGTTTGCAGAAGTAGCTATGAGCTGCTCGTCTTTTCAGTGGATGAACAAATAACTTTCACCAGATTACTTTAACACTGGAAACAATGTGATGGTAGGTTCTAAAGTTATACGGAGCATCTTTTTTACTGTGATATCGATGTGTATTTGTGGTGAACTGCCGGTACTGACAGCCTCTGAAAGTGTAAGTCACGCTGAATACCTAAAAATACATGTATTATGTCTGTTGAGTTATAACTTTGAGAAAAGGTGCCATTTTTGACAGAAATTGCAGGCCACACTTCCATTTGTTTTTAGAACACCTGCATACACCTGCCTCTTTAATCTCAGGCCTCATGTCTCTCCCTCTGCACCCTCCTGGGGAGGCATGCCTCAGATTTCAAAAACCTCAACTCCACAATGAATGTGGACTTGATGTACTCGACTCAACTCTCAAAAAGGACAAGGAAGGAACAGATTTAAAAATCAGACCAAGTCCACATGATGTGCAGTTCAGGAGCTGAAATTGTGCTCTGAAGTCAGTGCTGTCAAGGCTGAATAATTACTGGCTCTTTTTTTTTTTTTTAGCAATTTCTGACAGTAGTAAGTGGGCCTGGATCACAGCGACATGTACCGACTTCATCAGCAGCAATGACAACTGTTTGATTTCACTGAAGTACATCAGATTCAAACATCCATGAAAGCAAATACAAAGATTCAGTTGCATGAACAAACCCCGAGCATGTTCCCTCTTTGGCTCATGAACAGTTCACCATATCATCTGTCACTCTCCCTGTGGCTTCCATGCAGGTTTCTTGAGGCGTTCTACTCTGTGTTTGCCTGGGTTTCTTATCACCCCCCGTCTACGCCTGGTGGAGGCTGCAGCCAGCAGAGACCAGCGGTTTTCCTTGTGAGACGAGCTTTGTAGTCTAACAACAGCCACAACCCTGTGTCCCCCACCACCGCCACCTCCACCAGGCACTGCTTAGTGACACCTGGTCCAGGCCAGCCGCTGGGAACCTTAACCTCAACGTGGTGCAGCGGCGTCGCCCTGGATTCCCTTTGTGCACTTCCGGGGTTTACTTGCTTGCTTTAACGTGTGTCAAGGTAAGATCGTTCCTTTATCCTTAATTATATTATTTACCTGTGAAAATGTTTTTAGCTTTTGCATTGACTTTGTTCGCTAAAAGGGCTAAATTTAAAGTACAGTTGTTAAATTTAAATTACATCTTGTTTCTGATGGGCTTTAATTAAATGCGGTAACTAAAGAGTCACCAATATTTATAGTCATAATTACCAAAATGAAACATTTTACTGTAATGCATTTTTTCAGCTATGTCGCCCGTCTCTAGTAATATAGTAATACTAAATGATCTTGTGGTTACTGATCCAATCATCCATCCTCATTCTGCAATGTAAAGTATTCTTACTCTACCAGTGAGTGTAAATGACTCTTATCTATTTTCTGTAAATGCTCTACTAATTAGGAGAACTTAGTATTACCATTAATACTGCTAAAGTAGAGCAACTATAGAGTCATAAAATATATCAGGATTTAAATCCATGATGTCGAGGATTTAATGTGATGATAGCATATTTCATCTTAGTTGGCCCTAAGTTTGGTTTCTGTGGGAGAATTGGAGTGCTGCACACTACCGATTCAATATTTTAGCCCGTTTACCTTGACTGTCTGACGGTGTCTTATTTTCTTTTTTAACACGACCACCACTGGGGTGCCAATGTCAGACATTGTCAAACTCTGCACGCAGCAGCTTTGTACATAACATGTACTAATATTGAGCTGTTTTGAATTGAGGGCCGGCGTTTAAACCTGTGCACGTCACGGGGTAAAACTAAGACAAGGAGGCGATAAACAGACCACGCGACACAGGGAGTAAGAAGTATATAACCAAGTGTATTCCCTCTGTTAATGTACACATATTTAGAGTCATCTCACTGGAACACTTTACAATAACATTTAGAAAGAACAGGAAGATACTGGGAGGAGTATGCTTGGAATGAAGAAAGAGAGAAACCAGACAAACGTGGCAGGAGATTGAATCGATGGTGCCTGTCAAATGAAATGGCTGCCATCTTGTCTCTTGCCAGATAGACAGGAATAGTTAAGAAACAAATAAAAACTGGAGAATGAATAGAGCCTGCTTTCTCCACAGAGTATGGGGGACATACAATCTGCCATACAGAGAAAAAGGAATAGATGCAGGACGAAAAATAGATTGAGGATGACAGATGAAGTATGGAATAAAAGAGGAACTTTTCTCCTCCGGAAAAGGAGAATGCGCGGTTTCATGTGCATAACCCAAATCACATTTGCTCAATTACCAAAAGAAAATACATAGAAATTTCAGTTTCCCAGAATCATAGTCATTTTTTTTCTCCAAACAGGAATGATAGTAGGGAAAACACATTTCTCTTAGTAATGGGATGAGAGTCAAATATTTAGACATTTCACAAACTTTTTTCAGGATTTTTCTTTTCTTTTCATGGTACAGTTTTCTTTTTTAATAGAGTTGAGAAAATTGGAATACTAGAGTTCTGTTGTACATCTTCCAGGGAACTGCCGTTCACCTTTTATTTGTGTGCTCTTCCCACAAAGTTTGTTATGCCCATTGGCTGCCATCAGTCCAGTCAGGCTAGAGAGGGGTGAAAGACACAGTCGCTTTTTCAGCTGCAAGGTATCTCTCTCCACAGTGGAACTCCAGCAAGGATGAATTCAGAATTTCCCTAAAATGTCTCTCATCTCTCCAGAGAAAAGAATATTTTAAAAAAGAAAAAAAAATAAATAAAAGAAAAAGCAAAGAGCGAACCAAAGTGACTGAGTCTTGCAGCGAGGCATTCCGTCAGCCAACTGTTCATGAGAGGGGCGGGGGTCTGAGGAGCGGGAGATTGAGTGGTGAAACTGTTCCGACGTCAAAAATCCTAAAGTCCGTCTTCGCTGTGCCTTGTCAGCGAACTCACTTTTCGACTCGCTCACGATTTAGGTCCATAGGTTTCTGCAACGTCTATACATATATTTATAATTATATAGAACAGAGTTCATCTTGTTTGCTGGAGGTTTTTTCTGTTTTTCGGTGATTAGTAACTGTAAGGACGTGACAGTTTCTCTGCTGGCCCACTAGGGGGGCGACTTCGGAGCCCCAGAAACACATGACACAGATCTGCTGGAACAAAGGATGACCAAGGGGTTTTGGCCTCAACGAGTTTTTGGCGGCTAAACGTACAAGTTAGCATCCATTAGGTTGGAGCGGTGGTATCTCACATAGTTGCTACGTTTAACGTTGTTATGATCATCAATCATCATCATATTTTTTGTTTTTTAAACTCCACAGAAAGAAAAACAGTTTTTATCTCTTTTTCGTAAATGAATACTACATGCTTGAAACACGGCAGAGTTTACGTTGCATCAGCTGCTGGGCACCATAGACAAGGAGAGAAACAGAGTGCACGGGCGAACGAGAGGAAGAGAGAGAGAGAGATCTGACGAGAGGTGAGAGATCAGAGATGTTGAACACTTACAGATGTGGGAGAGCTGGATTTGACACAGTGTTTCTGTAAGCTGGCAGTATATTGATTTTACAGAGGGATGTCAGGTTGCTAATTCGAGCCTGGTTGGAAAATAATATGTTGATACTGTCTAAGGTGATGGTGTACACCACAAGCTCACCTCAGAATGAAGTACAGACCTTGACACAAATACTGATGGTGGTTCCTTCCTACAGTACTCAAGGTATTAAATAACCTGTCAAATGCTTACCAATAAATCACGGTTTTATCAGCATTTGCTACACGGTTGTTGGCACAGTATGTGTGGAGATCTGAGGTGTAATAGCCTTTTCTTAAATGCACGCAATGGTTAACATTTAATCAAAGTTTAGTCAGATCAGTCAAAGCAATGCTGAAAGGTGAGAACAGAACCACGATGCCACCGTGCCGTCTTATTTTGCTGCCTCCCTCTGATTAGAGTGAAACTGGTTACACATATGACCACCTGACAATACTGAGTGTTAAAAGAATTAGCCACTATGTTATGTTTGCCGTTTTCCATATACTGCCTTTCTCCCTCTCTCTCTCTCTTTCTCTCTCTTGTCTCTTTCCTTTTCTAAGTGCGTCTGCTGTCTGTCTCTGTGTGTCACGGCGGCACTCCCTCAGACGTAGTACTCTTTGTCTTTGTTCTTCTTGTTCTTGGTGACTGTCTTGGCAGTGCTCGGCTGTTTCTCCTTCACCAGAGCTCCGTTGCTCTGCGTGGCTGAGTTGCTGATGTAGTTACGGCTCTGGTCCACCTGATAGGAGCCCTCGTCGCGGTTGCGATATTTGTACATGGCGTAGAGCAGGATGAGGATGCAGAGGGCAGCAGCCGCCACGATGCCCACCACCATCCCAGTGGTGCTGCTGGACTGCTGCACCTCCACGGCACCCGGGAGCCCTCTCTCTGGAGACGTGGGGTCTGGAGTGGGAACATGAGGGAAATTTGGGGGGTAGGTTATTCCCGGTACTCTGCGGTGGCCTGGATCTGACGAGGGGTGGGCCGGCGGCAGCAGCACCTGGTCCCGGGTGTTCATTTTCCCGGCGGGGATGTTGTTGTTGCTACTACTACTGCTGCCGCCGCCGGCCGGCTTGATGCGCGGGCTGAGCTGGTCGGGGTTGGCCGTGGGGGTGGAGGAGAGAGGTGGGCGGTGGGAGTTGGGGAAGCGGGAGAAGTGGCGGTCTCGGGGGATCTGGACGCCACCCTCGACGGCCGGGGGAGGGGGGAGGACAGTCCTGTCGGTGACCAGGGGCGAGTTTTTGTAATAGTCTTCGTCATCCGACTCAGTCATCTCCCCCGAGCCGTACGCCGACACCTCGATGGTCTCCTCGCAGTCCTCCTGGTCCAAAGGGCAGGGAGGCCGGCCGTTGGGTAAGGGGAGGGACTCTTTGGTGGTTTCGAGCAGGGTGAGGAAGGGGCGATAGGTGGTGGGGGGTGGGGGGATTACTGGGTAGCGGGTGGCGATGGATGGGGGGTCTAGGGAGTCCACCGTAATAATGGGCAACACTAATTCACCTCCTAGGACAAGAAAGAGACAACGGAGGAAAAGAGTGTTAGAGACCACCTGAGAGAGAGACCACCTCCAGATCAACAAGAGAAGATCAGTTCAAATGAATACAGCAACACCAGTATTAGAACAGCACTACAGCTTAACATGAGGTTAGTTATATAAGTTTAGTTAGTCTGTTCTATTTAAAAAGTTAATATGCTGACTAACTCTGAACTGCAATATAGTACAAGATGTAAGAAAATACTCTATCCTGCACCTGTTCCTGACTGCTCTGACCTATCTCCCTATGCTGCATAGACCTACATGTTATATCACTAACACAAGATAAAAGTAGACTACAAATTACACTGAACAACTTAACATCTACACAGCCTATCCTTCACTGCTAACTTCTACCTACTGCTGACTACGCTAGCGCTCAGATGTCTCTGCTGTCATTGGTTAAATAAGATAGCAAACCACGAGGTTCAGGTCACTTACATCAACAAATTGGCCGCATGATTTTTGCATGAAAAAAAAAATTACAAAAAGAAAGCTGTGTAAGATTGTTCTCGGATAGTGATCAACAACTTTCCCCACCCTTCTTTACCTCCTCTCCTTCTTGTTATTTCTTTATTGGGTGAAAAATAATCAGAATGTAAAAAAATAGAGTGAATTATTCACTTGTCCCCACCACCCCCGCCCACCCTCCCCCTTGCCCACAAATTCTCATGAAGAATTGTCTCAATCCTATTTTCCCCCCTTTGGGCATGGTAGTTTCTATGGCTCATTTCTAATTAGCTTAATCTGTATGCAAACCCTCAGGAGTGACTGCAGGAAACTGATGCCCCTAATTTCTAACCCAAACCCTCAGTGTTCACTACATTACACTAAGAGACAGTGTTATACACAACTGATCCCTTTATTTATTTATTTATTTTGTAATATTCCCACTTCCCTCCCAAACAGCACACATAAACACGGGGCAATGAACAGTTAAAAAAATTATCTTAATGAGCCAGAATTTCTTGTCAAGCCTCAGTTATGTAATCAGATTTGAGCCCAATGTGAAATAAACACCCATGTCATAAATGAAGGTTATTGGGTGCATTCATTCAGGAGGAATCCTTCTATCACAGACTGAAACATATTGGGAGCGTGTTAACAGTACATAGCAGAATACGATCAGCACCAGTCTATTTACACACTAAATTTTCTCTTCAGTGTGGCAGATAGGGTCACATTCAAGGAAACAGTTGAAAAAACATGGCAGAGGGGATTAGATTATAGCACATCTTGGGGGGGAAGAAAAGGGAAGGTAACAGCAAAACATGACCAAAGAAATGCCAACATCACCAGCATAAAATCATGACTCTGGCTCTTTGTTCAATTGATGAGGTAAATCAGAGCGACTCAGTGGGAGAGGGCTCGGATCAGGCAGTTCAGGGATGATTGGGGGGGGGGGAGGGGGACTGTGAGGGGAGGTTCTGGGATTGTAAGAATTCCTCTGTGGCCTTTATTCAGCTCAGCAACGCTCAGACACCCCAAAACCCCTTGTCAGTTATACAACCACACATTTTTTCACTCAAAGAATGGCAAAGGCTTTGTTAAAAAGGTGATGCATTGAGTTAACAAAGCCACTGCGACATATCAGCATATTACAACACACTTGAAAGAAACAGCCCTTGAAATAAAGCAAAATGTGAGAGCTGTAAAGGGGGGGGAGAAACTTAGTAATTCTTCAACTTCTTATTTCACTACCAATGCTGGAGAGGCTAGTTTCCATGGCAATGCTCAAGTTATTTCTCTCCATTATATTTTCTTTCTTTCTGTGTTTGAGGGATGTGTTTCACCTTGAAGGCTAGAGGACAGCAGAGCATGGTGGCACATTTGAGGAACAAAGAAGAGCCACGCCAAGTTGGATTTCCAAAGTGCATTGGGGGGAGAGAGAAAAAAAAAAGCTAAAAAAAAAAAAAACAACAACTTTGGTTTTGTGAAATGACTTGTCAAAGTCACAGAAGAAGTGGGGGGAAAAAAAATGGGGGACCTCAGATACAGTGACTGAGGGTGACAAGATGCTAGTGTCACTATCTTTACTCTGCCATATGCCTGTGTGGCAGAGATGCTGCAAGTGCAATTTCAAGCTTTATACCGCTGCTCGGTTTGCGCCCACCCATTACTGAGGAGTTACCTCCACTCACGGTGTGCCCTACTTACAGTACATGCGGCTGACATTGCAAATAGATGTCCTTGTTACGGTAAACACTTAATGTAATCCTCTCAGAATCAGGAACACTGTGTTTCTCTGCTTAAAGTCTACCTTATATGAACCCACAATAGAGCGCTTAAAGGGATTATTTAGGTATTTAGGAGGCAAATACAGACATTACACGTAAATGTCGTCAAAAGTACGGGATTGTTCCAGTAAATCACACACATCACTCTGCTGTACTCTCAGTGCAACCAAAGCCTGAGGGCCTTATGGCATCATCCCATATGACTGGCAGGCAGTGGCTACTAGGAAAATAATGAATCTCAGCCCTCACACACAGAGTGAGCACCATCTAGGCACTCTAGGCAGTTATCAGGTGAACCATCTTTTCATTTCCTGTTGTGTGACCCAAGCCTAGTACTGCGCCAATAGTTTAAACCAATCAACAACTTCAATTGGCTCTCCCCTTTCCCACCACTGCAACCTATTGTCCCCTCTCACAGCTCTGATTCTTCAGTTAACACCTACAGGCAGGCTCGGAAAGTTGACTTGAGTTTGGGGGAAGCATGCCATGAATTTCCTCACATGTGCTGAAAGCTGCCAAGAAGCATGTAAAACCAAAATCCAGAGTTTGATAGATTTGCCAGCACAAGATAGTTAGCATGATTACCATGATGCAGCCCGTGTTGTCATCCCACCAACTCCTGACCAAGACCAGTTCTGATGCAAAAAGTACTGAAAAATACATACAGCATGACTCCAGTGTGTGGGTGTCGCCTTCCTTAACATTGCAACGCTGTCATTTACGTGTTAAAGCGAGGGAGACTCAAAGAAATTCCGCCTGATTGATTGAGTTTGACTTCATTGATTTGAACAGCTGAGGCAGTGGAACCACGTTTAGTCCACATGATGAAATTTCTTTATCTTTACCCACATGCCACTCCACGGTGCTGCCAGCATGAGTCATCCCCTCTATTTACTCAAAATGAGAACAGGGCAGATGGATACTGATGCATCTATGTCGGTCCCCTGACAAACATCGTTATTCTGCCGATCACGTCGCCCTGCTCACATCCATTTGAAATATTTAGAGCAAAAAGGTTGTTTGGAATTCGAGCATTCTGTAATTCAGCTTTGATTAGGCTGCAGATGGAAAAATCCAGCAGCGTGTCCGAGCATAGTATATTTTCTCTCACTTGCTTTTGAATCATGCTACAATAGCTACAATTACGGCTATATAATCTGTGGGACTAAACCTGCTTCTCCATACAGCATTTGCTGCTGCCGCTCTCAAGCAAAGTGATTTATTTTGACAAAAAAAAGGAGATGATGCCCTGCTCGTGAGTGACAAATGTTGACTAGAGTTGAAGTCACCTCCCCACAGCGCTTTAGCTCTTGGATCCTCTCCACGGGTCTGGTTGGATTTGTTATTCTGGCAAATATCCACAGAGAATCTCGACCTGATGCAGAGGTATGAAAATGCACCACTTCACCGGTCCCTGCCTTAGCATTACCGTGTTTCCAGCCCACTTTATGGCCTCTCTATGTTGTTGTTTTTCTCCTCTTACGACTGTCCTTCAATCACACCCATCTTCTTGACAACTCCCTTCTACTTTCTTTTCCTTTGAGTGCATTTGTTAACTTAAAAGGTCTCCATCTAAACCAAACAATTGCAAAGCTAATGGACTCTGGGAGAATGCAAAGAATGGAAAATTAATTTATAAAGGAAATTACAAGCTTAGGTGGATCAGACAATCTGTGAATCAGTGTTTCTCCACTGCGCTTTAGGGGAGAAACTACAATATTTGTTTACAGTTTGAAGTGTGAGTGGAAAGAAAGACTCCCTGCTGAGAAAGCAGTGGCATGAAGGGAGAAAAAAACAAACCCATTTTCCATCCACTGCTCTGGGTTAACATCAGACTTTAATTATAATTTCAATAAGATTTTGGATAGTTTGCTGCAGAATTTTTTTTTTTGGCAAATGACAAAATGCGCCATTGACCAGTAATGAAATAAAATGGTTTCGAGGCATGTGAATAATGTTGAGTAATGCATCCTTCAGTTTTTGATTTGTGCGTTTAACAGCAGACTGAGCTGACTGAGCACCTCTGCAATGACTGATTATTCTGACTTAACTCGATGAGAACTATTATCCCTGTTTTTGTTCCCCCAATACGTCTCAGAGGACTGAAAACAACACCCTAAAGCACAATGCTGTTTGCTGTAAGGGTGCAAATGAAGTATCACATATGGAAACAAAATGATTTAACATGAGTAAACTAATAAGCTGTACTACGATCACATTAGTCATCACTTATTTGTTGGATGTTTAAATATATATACAGAAAAAATCAGCAGGATGTACACAACATGTGCAATTATTAGTATTATATAACCTGTGAAGGTGTTAAATGTTGATTAGCCAAATTTATTATTCCACAATTATGTAATTGGCTAAATAGTAAATGATATGATGTGTATTAGTTAAATCATTGCATTGTTTATATTAGTTTTATTCAATTTAACTAAGTTTCACATGAAATATTCATTTTAATCCTATTTCGGTCTCCTTAAATTGTCTTGTGTTTCGCAAGCACAGCAGTTTGTTGCTTAATAGTGTTATACAAAAACACAAAACAACATTCACACCATTTATTTGTTAACTAATTTGTTCATTATTTTTCTGGCCTAGCGGGGAATTGTTTCCATGCAATTACGCAAACTCAACCAGACCTCGTTATTTATCTAAGCTTCTCTAAACCCCCATATTGTTTCTGGAGAAAATGGTCAGATTAGAACAATGCTTCCAAATCCGACCAATCAGACAGAGCGGCAGCAGAGGCTTGGACTGCATGTCACAGGAACGATGAGGACACGCTCCCCTGAACTGTGAAAGGATGCGGTACTGTTTACAGATCATCCAGTGCCCCTGGTTCAAGCCTGTACACTGTCAAACATCAGACCTGTGGAACCCATACGATAAACCTGGGGCTGTTTACCTGTGGATGGCTGGCTATGGGAGATCAATAAAGTATCACACTGACAAATATCTGACACCCAAACCCATCGACTCGGCTCTGAGTCACACTGGGTGCAAGGGGCCCAGCGCTCCGGGTCATCCCTCATCTATCACCCAATCTCTTACTTTCACTCCTCGGCCAAAAAAAGAGCGTTCGCAGGTTGTCTCTATAGTGTGTCGTCTGATGAATTATTGAGGAGCTCAAAGCTCTGATCTTGTCAGAGTAAAACCGATATAGCGCCTACAACATCGTGGGACTGATAAGTAGCTCGGAGGTAAGCAAAAGAAAAGAAAAGTGAGGTCATGCTGAGGTAGAGAAAAGACAGAAAGTGAAATATGGAGGTAGAGTGATTGAGATTTTAATGAGCAGAGCTCGTTGGAAGAACTGATCTTCCTAAATGTGTGTTGCTGTGAGTGTCTATAGATGATATTTCATGTATGTTATATACAAATATCTTTTCAAGTGTGTGTCCTGTGTCTTCATGTTCACCGAGTCCTTCTCCCGGAGCTTTGTAATCTGGGTCCACGTTCTCTTGGTCTTGTCGCCCTTCTGACAGCGACTCATTACCAACACTGGAGGATCCAAACCAAAGCTCTAATTGGGTGATGTAATTAAGGCTCCCGAACAGTCAAAGTTTAATTAGCCTGGTGGGAAAGGCAGGAATTGTTCATGGGAATTTCGCTCAGCTCACTCTCTCAATTTTGCATCCTCTCCTTTCACTTCCTTCCCTCTCGTAAGCTCCCTCTGTATCTCCGTTTCTCTCCTCTTCCCCCATTTCGCTGTTCTGCTTTGAGCGCAAGGGAACGTGACACACATCTCAATGAGGGTCAGCCCTTCACAGCGCAGTCCTTCCAGCTCTTTCCCACTCGTCTTCTCCTCGGGTCTTTTTCTCTCCAGCCTATGCTTTGTCTATTTTGCATCCACTTGTCAGCAAGTGTTCGACAGAGGCTGCCCCACAACCATTGAGCGTTTTCACGTCGAGGGTTAGCATTTAGCATTCGATGGCCAAAACACTGCTGGAAGAGAAACAAGCTTGGATTTGAATTTGCGCTACAGCTGCAGGTAAACATCTGTAATGCAGTTACAGCTCCACTGCTTGTATATAAGAAGGAGTCGCATTGATCCCCATGAATTCACAGCAGTCATATCTGGCACGGCTTAATGGAAAATCCACAGCTGTGCTTAACATTTTTTTTTTTTCTTCCTTCCTGAAGGCAGTTCGATATCACCGAGCCGCATTCTCACATGTAATTGAAAACACTGGGAATTGGTCCTATCACGCGACGACTACAGGCCCGTGTTTGTGGAGCCGTGATGGAAAAGGGACATGTTTTGCGGACAATGTTGATTCTTCTCTTCTTGTCCACAGTTTTCACCGAGGCTTATCTGACCCCACTGGCTTGCCTCGCTGGAACCCTCGTGTCGTCTGGAAGGTGTGATACGGAGAGTGCGCGCGCGAGAGAGAGAGAGAGAGCGTGTTTGTTGTTCCTCGGGAGAGAGAAAACTTTACACCCACAGAGGGAGAGAGACAAGTGTCTGTCTGGAAAGGTGAGCATGTCTGCCACTCTGTGTGTGTTTGTGTGGGCATACGAAAGAGAGAGAGAGAGAGAGAGAGAGAGAGAGTTGCATTTCCTCATGGGAGATTAAGCCTGGGCATAGCATCCACCGAAAAACTCTCATTTCTCCTTTTCGATAAGAGGGGAATTGAGTCTCTATTTCGGTCCCAACCACCTACAGAGAGAACCACAGGAGAATGCTACACTCGAGTTTCTCAACACAGGTTCAGATCAGTTTCTCCTCACACAAACATACTGATATATGCTGTAATCTCCTGCCATATACAGTCCAACATATTCAAACCACCAATTCCCATTCCTTTAAAGAAATAAATACATTCTAGGAAAATGAGGTGCGTGGCTCCCCTGATGATCACATGTTTACGACCTGATCATGTGACCAAGAGATTAATGATATTCGATCTATAGATTACTGAAGAAAAATAATAATGCAGTCAAATTTATCTTTAACACTTTTTTTTTTTTGCAAATGAATAACACACAAGGAATATGTTGTTGGTACACTGGAGTCTCCACCAAATAGTTACTGACTTTGATTTTTTTTATGGATATTATCAGATGTGGATTATTAACATGATAGCATTGTTTCATTTTTTTAAATGTAACATTATCATCAGTACCGGTATATCTTGACGCCCCTTCTGAGGACATTAAAGTAGATTTTGAGTAAATTTGAGTCTATGTTTATGTGTAATTCAAGCTCAGTTTTTCACTACATTTTCATTTCTTATTTACATTTTTTTCTGTTGTGTTTTCTTTCACAGCAGCTGCGACTAAGGATGGATTTGTGGAAGCAAACTCGATAAAGAATACTGTGCCAAAAAAAATAAATAAGTAAGAATGCCTGCAAAATTAAAAGCAGACTAAAGTTCAGTTGAAAGCATAATTTCCTAAACAGTTCAATTAAAACGTCTCTTGTTACATGCGAATATATTTCAACTAATCCTTTTTGTTCTTTTCATGTAACTGTAATTTTTCAGAGTCGTCTGGAACTAAATGCGTCTCATGGAGAAAGCGGCTTGTAGCTTGTAGTAGCTAGCAGAGGAACACTATGCAAATCAAGCCGTGCATTTATAAACTTGATTTGAAATAATTACTCAGGGCCCTGTGTGTTATTAACAATTTCTTCTATTTTAATTCCTAGACGTTAGCACCCTAACAGCTTGTATGCTGGCACTGTTTTGATGATAGGTTTCATCCCACCCACACCAGAGTTAAATCTGTAAACCCATTTACCAATAAAAATCTTGTCAGTCTGGATCTTTCAGGATAAAATGTCATTAAATGTGGATTTGCATATCTCTCAGATTTGCAGGAGCCTCTGCTGTAGCGGTAGGAGTAATTTACATCACACTGCTGCTCTGTATGAATATGGTTCTTGGCAGTTTTCAAGTAAGGCCGGCTTAATAGAGCTAGAAAGCACAGAGGCAGCAAGTAAAACACATGGCCTTTAACTTCCACCTCCTGTCATGGTGTCAGAACATTGCTTGACCCGCTGTTCACACTAACAGTGCCTCAGCCACCAGGCCTGCCAGGCTGCAGCTGTGTGCCGCACAGAACAAGCTGCGTTTCCACGTTGGAACTGTCTCGCCTTGTTAAAGCTTCGGCAGAAGATTGGTGCAACAGCTGGGTAAATGCCAGGTATTACCTCGTGGCTGAGCAATTGATGGACCACAATGCTTCTGACTGCCTGCTGCTTTGAAAACCAATAAGAAAAGGGCTTGGAGGGTGTGCATCTGGCCAATCAGAGCTGCATAGAGGGGGCTGTGCAGTCACAAAGTGTCATTTAGAAGTGGAGTAAGGGTCACAGCGACAGTCTACATAAGTCTTTTCTTTTTGTTTTTTTTTTTTTGTTTAAGGCTGCACTCTGCTTCTGGACAAACTAAAATGAAGACAGAACTCCCTGAGTTGACTCACCATTTCCAGGCTCACACTCCTCCAAATCTTCGTCATCACTAGGACATTCAGCTGATGCTACCAAGAGGTCATCCGCATTCTGGAAGAACAGAGAGGGAGGAGAGGAGATAGAGTCAGGACAAATTTTATTTGTGTGGAGGATACACAGAACATCGAAGAGGATTAAGAGTCTCCGGCGGTCTTGGTGAAGGTCGGCTCCACTGATACCTTTTTTCACAGTCGCTACTGCAGCCATGAGAGGCAAAGTTTGTAAAGGCTGTAGGTGAATAAACAAACTTTCTTATAACTTGGGGTTAAAATAAGGGAAGATTTATTGTTGAGCTGTTTGTTAGTAGTGGCAAATGTGTTGAATATATGGAGGTGGGTGTGCTTTATGAGTAGCGCCCATGTGTATTTATGTAAGCAGAGATGGGCAGCTTCAGGGAAACCAAAGAGAAACCAGCTTTTTCTGACCGAACACCACCAATCAAAGAGGCGTAGCTCGTCTAAACGGTAGGCAAGCTCCATTGTGTGGGCAATAGAGTCAGACATTGGAAGCTCTATTACACAACTGTTATTTACTGTATATCTACACCGTATATTATCTCCATCTCTATCAGGAATCTTTTTTGACCTGGAGCTTGTAGACATTTGAACTATGTGATAAAGAAAACAGTAGACATCAAGTCTGTAGGGCAGGCTTTAGAAGTACAGCAGGTACAGCGACGGGGGGCCGTGAGATGAAGACAGATTAAATCTGACAAGGTGGTTCCAATTTAGCAGCCAAGGTTCGTCCCCACTACTGCATGACTCATACAGCTGCATGTCTAGACACCCAAACGTCCTCCCCTCCTCTCTTCTCTGCCTCCGGTTGTTATTCAAGATGGGGTCATCCGATAGAAAATGGAGGGCTTTTATCAGCATAATTGATTCAAGCGCCACACTGCTTCGCAGAGTTTTCTCTCTGTTATTAATCCACGGCCCGAGTGTAATCATTTATTAATTACATTGTGTCAGTTTGAGTGTGTGTTCACATCACCTAGCTCTGTCAAATGGGCCTAATGAACTTGCTTCAGTTTCCCAGCAACATCTCTATCAAACATGCACTTACATTTCTATTCCATTCATGCAGGCAGCGGCTTCACTTTCCCTAACTCAATATAAACAGCACATAATGAATCCTTTAAAATGTGCACTTTTTTAAATTTAGCAACCGAGACATCAATAAATGCACACAGCAGGGTGTGTTTGTGGCCGTAAGTGAAAAAATGTTTATATAATCCATGTCTTACTGACTAAATGTCAAATGGCTGTGCCAGCCAGCAGGAGTTATCGCGCTTTTAATTTAGTGCAACATCTGTGACACACTTGTAAACCCCAATTCACAACCTGCCCCCTCCTCGAACATCCAGAGCAGTCCACAATAGCAGCACTGACTGTAATTTATTGAATGGGAAATTGTCACGAGGTCTCCTATCCCAGTGTACTGATAAATGCTGAAGGAGAACTGAAGGAGTCGCTCCAAACTCCAGTTTGACCCGGCCAGAAGTTTTTTTCAACAGTCTCCAAGCAGAATCCACGAGGACGCAACTTTGAACCGTCTCGCATCCATCCAGACAAACCAGAGACATCACAAACACCTGGGAGTGCTCTTGGTTTAAGACAGAAGCAAGGGCATAGCTTGTGATCTTAGTTTTATAACATCCTGATACCAAATTTGGGTCAGAGCGAGACAAGTGATGACTCCGACTGTTTCATGGAAACCCACAGTATCAAGGGGTGAAGGGAGGAAAAAAATCAGACCCCCACACGCACATCAAAAGGTAGATCTTTTATTCTAAGCATCAAAGCACATTATTCCACTATGATCAAAGCTACAGCGCGGCGGGTAGCTCAGAGCTTTTGGAGAAATTGAAATTTAGGTTTCCACTCACTTGGTTTCCGCCACCCTGGCCTGTCCCCCGTCTCCACCATGTCTGTTAGAGCTCCGTAACTGTTAACTTCACCCAACACCACTGCTGTGTTTATCTATCTACTGAACTTCCCCTTTACCTACTTTCCTACCACCCTACTTGTATGTCCATGTTTTTCTGTGAAAGATTCTTCATGTGACTCATGACTGTGACTGAGTCTAGAGATCAATGACTGCTATAAAACTGTAGACTATAACGTAAAGATATTGGTGTGAGCCAGAGATGCAAATTAAAATTCTTTTCTTCAAAGACATTCCTGAGCAGCCCCTCAGGTTATGCTACGCTGGCATTAACATTTCTTTTTATGACTTACTGTTCACGTCTTGGCTATAGAAGATGATACACAGTTCAAAGAAGTGATACAGAAGAACTGAACAGAAACCTGGGACTCTCTGGGATGATGTAACCGTCTTTAGGGGTGGACATAGAGGAGCACACAAGCAGCGATGTGCTGACCAGAGAACGTCAGTGAAATTCGGCGATATGTACGGCAGGCGAACAAACCATTGGCAGTGCGACGTGAGCAGGTTTAACTAATCTGAACGTAAGGCAGTTAGCAATGGAAGCTAAGGATACCGTTGATTGCCATCACTGGACAACAAGGAAACAACATTCCCACCTTTGGTTTCTATCACTTCAAAATAGCATAAGAGCAGCTTATATTATACAATCTCCAACAAACCTGAATTGCACAAAGTTCAAAGAAGTATAAATATCTGAAACACCTTACATTCCTGAAACCACTGACATATGGAAAGTCATGTGGGTCAGTTATCTTGAGAGTTGTAGATCACATCTACGTGTATTCATGCTTGACTTTTTTTCTTGAAGTACCACATTACATTATTTCCTCGTGCAGTTTCAGCTGATGAATTAACTGGGAGAGTTTCACGCTGTTCCAAGCCACAGAAATACCCAACTGTGAGTCACCTCGCGTCGTTTATGGGAAAATGATGGACTCCTCCCTAAATAGGTGTCATCAGAATAATCAGACAGATGGTGGAATCACATAAAGATTCCGCACTGAGCAGCTTTCATTTAAGACCCGCAATTCTGAGCATCTCATCTGTTGTAATGTAACCACTTCTGAAACCTACAGTGCACATAATAAAGCAGAGTGGCACTCACAGACAATGTCAGTTCTTTGAATGCCACTTTTGTGCTCCTCAGTCGTGAGCCATGTACAGTGATTGTCTGTGGCTTTGATTGAGTTTGAGTCGTAGACGCGTTGCCACGTCTGTTCCGCTGCGACACACCACCGCTCACGCTAAATGCCCATTTTTCATCTAGTATTTTTTTTTCAAACTGCTTCTGCAAAATTTCAAATCAAACAACCATCTTTCCTGTGCACCACGGGCCTTTTACCAGGACAATCACACAGAACAAGACTCTGAGTGTTTAAAAAAGCAAATATAAAAGATTTCATACGCTGTCTGGTGCCTCTCAGCTGTTCTAAAATCAATGCAATTCTCAGCCTTTGTGAATTTTTGCTTAATTTTACTAGACTACAACTGTGTCTACAGTTACGCTTTTCGCTCTGTTCACTGAACCGTTTATTCTTTCTTTTCATCAAAGGGGAGCAGATGAGCTTGCCAGGTCTTCAGCACCTCCTGGCAAATTAGAACAAATTCCAAAATAACAAACATTCAGTCACACCGGGACCATCTGTATGAATGATCAGGTGTGTGTTAGCTATACGCCCCAATAATGCTTTTATGTCTTTCCACGCACAGAAAAAGACTGCCTGTTTGATCATTAAAGTCATTGGTAATATGTGTTCATTCTCAGCCACATATTCCTAATGCTATTTTAGGCTATTGTGACAATACACTGTTTTCAGCTAGGTCCATAATAATAATAGAAAAAAGGAGCCGGTAAAATGTGTGTACACTATCTAAAAAATAGATTCTTAGCAATAAAAAACACTCTAAAGGTGGAGCCGTGCTTTTTTATGACCAAACATCAACATCAGTCAGCAAATGCAATACACATTAAGGCTTGTAACAACAGAGAGGCAGACAACGCTCAGAGTCCTTTGCTATCCTAAAATGGTTCCAGATAATTTATCAAACGAGGCTGTCTGTGAATGCCAATTTCACATCACACGCCACTGCGATAAAAGCTTGTTATACACTGAATGCAAAAGGATGTGATGTGATGTCGAAGTGAGCGGATGGATACATTTGACATCTTACAGGCCGGTTCCATTGATCTCGTGTTTAGAGAGAAGACTCAAAAAAAACGCTAAAATCACAGACCATAAGCTATGCCAACTGGGCACACTTGAAACTATGTTGTCTGTGAAGGAGCTTTAACTGGCCTTTCACTCTAAAACTTCTTACTTGCTTGTAATTACATGGCAGCTTCGACCGTGACTGAAACCAAGGGCTTGAATTGACATTTTTGAACATGACCACCTCCATATTTTGTCAGCTGCCATCCGAGCACTAGTTTCCTATGCCTGTGGAGACTTCATTAAGTGACTTTTATCAATGTGCGAAGAAGAGCAAAACAAACAGGAGCTGATGGAAAACTAACATTCCAGTTTTCTTTGAACTGGGTGTTTGCAATACGACTTGTGCCGTCGCAGTATTAACAGCCTCACCTTGACTTTACTCTAATTGGCACTGAAAATGAGACGGATAGGAAAGGTTTGAGATGATGATAAAAGGACAAAGACTAAGGTCTAAATATATTCTGCATCTGCTGATCATGGTTATCAGGGACGAGCGCGAGTGGCTCGCTGACTGATCTCAGATATGCTTCTGTGGACATGAATAGCACTAATGAACACAACTGAATAAGAGAAATGCGCTGGTAATTGGCACCATGCCTTTGTGTTCCCTGCGACATCATAAAAGTTTGTTGGGCAATTGAAGTTTAAATGACAGCTTTTAAAGACAAGAGCTTTCAAGTAGTTAAGGTACAAAGTCTGTACAGTAACAGAAATAGCTGCCATAATGTACATCTGGTATTAACATGGAAAAGAAGTCTGCAGTGCTTCTAGTGTTTGCTTCGAACGCTTTGGAGCAAAGATGTTTTTGCTCAGCACACAGCTCGTTGCTAATGATATTGGGCATGAACTGGAGCATATTCGCCACTGGAACAAATGCATCCTGTTATTAGGTCTTTTTATAAGAGCAGTGGGCCTCGTTGACACGCCTCTTCCATCTTCATGCATGTGGGCAACAGCGCTTCCCTACTGTTTGCTAATTGTTGCTTTCCATGCTGGCAATATGCGCCTTTAGCACATGGGGATAATCATCAGACCATAAATCACTGGCTCTCACACACGCGTGAAGCAGAGTAAGTTTGTTGCGCCCTCAGACGTCGTGTTGTTTCTGCCCAAGGATTTCCTCCTCATGATGTTCCTTCCCAGCTTCAGCCTTTGTTGATCTGTCTGGATGTGCTGTAATTTCCAGCGTCCTAGTCAGCCATATCTTCTTCGAGGAAATCAAAATTGTAGTGTCGATTGGTGTAATAGGACCGACCACACAAAGCTGTTCTCTGAGTCCCTCTCAGGCTGAGGGCTGTTTGAACGTCTGAATGTGGCTGACGGCTAACAAGAGGCAGCTCACACACAGCGCATTGCTGAGGACGCGACTGTTTGACCTTGCAGCTGATGTATGATTTCTTTTGAAATGCACATCTATTCGTCCAAGGAGGGCCATCTGGTTACTTGGCCATGCTGTTTAATCTTTCAAATATTGTTTTCAGCACTTTGCGGAACTTCGGAAGGCCAATTAAAAGTAACTGGCAATGTTCCATCACAACGCACAGAACCAGACCAGCTCCCCGGCTCAGTGACTCAAAACACTGGGATTCTTTTAGCTTGTTCTCTCAGCTCCTCGCTATGAATCCTGGATCTCAAAGCTCATCATTACTCACCTGTGTGACACTGTCCCTCATGGTGGGCGAGCGCTGTTTGCGGGTGGTGGTTGTGGCCATGGTGGTGGTTGTCTCCATGATTGTGGTGGACATATCAGCCAGCGGGGTGGTGGAGGTGGTGTCAGTAGTCAGCACTGAGGGCACGTCACCCACCAGCCGCAGGTTTCCCTGGGTCTGGACATTGGGGTCGCCTTCAGCTGCCAGTTTGAGCACCTGCAGGCCGTTGTAGTACAGGCCTGAGATCTGGCCCTGGAAGTGGCGCCCCTTTTCTCCACCACCGATTTTGATGAACGCCTGGCTGTTGAAGATGGTCAACTGGCGACCTGGTGAACAAAAGATGAGGAGCAGGACAGAGCAATGCAGGAGGAGAGAGGCGAAGTGGAAGTAAGAGAAAAGAGGGAAAAAGAGAGAGAAGGCAGAGAATACAAATCAGCTCATAGTCTCTGGGTGAGCCTGAACATGAAACACAGAGTAATACACAGACTCAGTGTGAAGCAGGGGGGATAGAGGGACTGTTTCAATCACATGGGATTTCCTGGGTAACACTTTAGGGAGATTGGACCCTGGCTTGCTGCAGTTGCAGCCATTATGTAGCTGGGCACGTGCCACATTCCCAGAAAAGCAGCATGAATCTGGCAGTCAAATAGATTGCAGGGGCAGTTGCGGATTGACCCTGAGACTGAAGGTTCACAGCAAAATGCATCTCATTTGCCCTGAGATGGAATATATTAGAACAATGCTGGGTCTGTGTCATTGACCTCCAATGCACCTGAGCTGCACAATGATAAAGTACCTCTGCCAGCAAAAAAAATGTCACCCCACTCTGCTATCCAAAGGAGGAAAATGAGATCCTCATTGGAAAGAAATGTTTAATTCATCAGGGGCTGTTCCTCTCTGTGGTCATTACCATTCATCTGGATGGATAGATGGATGAAGGGAGGACAGGGTCGAGCATTTAACCAGGGTCCAATACTAATGTGTTACCAGGACTTGTGGTGAAGGGGTGGAGAGGGGCGGGCTGACAGGTGTAGTTTTTCTCCCAGTATTTTCTTGAGCTGATGTCAGTTCAGGTTTTATTTATACCCGTTCAATTTTTTCCCACCCCACATTTGCATCCCCATCTCCTCGGGGACATCCCATCACAAACTTTGACCTGCATTATGAGTCATGTGGACATGAGGGAACGTGGAGGGCACTGGTTGGAAGGAAGTGGGTTAAAAACAGACCTTATGAGGTAATTACTCAGAGGAGAAGAAAAGAAGAAGGCAAAGAGCTTTTTTATGGATTAATCAATCCCTGTAAGGAAAGAGGGAGTGTGTTTGTTTGTGAAAGAGATACTACACTAATGTGTGCATTTCAGAGTGAAATATCGACTCTAGAGAGATGGCGGGATATGAACGTCTGAAATGAGAGAGCCTGGTGGTCTGTGTGTTTCTGCATGTGTTTGCATGTATGCATATTTATCACATCTCATCCAGGTATGAGCGATTACTCCTCAGTGCTTGTATTTGCACATTTGCACCTCCATGCATGTGCTGATGGTGGCTTCAGTGTTGGTCTTCCCACGTTAAATGATGACAAATGAATCCTCTGACTAACTTTTGGATGTTGCTTTTGTTCCTTCTGTGAGATTGCAAGCTAGCGAGGACAGCCTTCTACTCATCAGCATGGACACACTGGGGACAGGCCCAGGTCCCATTTGTTTTCAATTAAGAGAAGTGAGAGAGTACTTCATCACTGTAATTATGATTTACACTCCATCTATATGGGTGCACTTGTTCAGACGTGTGTGGCACCCAGGTGGGTGGGGCTACGAGACACAAATTGTCCATTAATGCACATTTGTGTGATGATGCATGTTCATGAACCCACATGTTCACGATATGTGCATCTGTAAGTTTTCTGCAGAAGTGCTGGGGAGATAAATCTATTCCATTGAGATGGGCCATTACACGTGTCATCCCATTATCAGATCATTAGGCCCGTCGGGGATGCACAAGGGACCCGGCTCCCGTCCCTTAACTCTATAATGATGAGACTTAATGTCTGGCATATGCACTGTTGACATAATAGCTGACTTTCACTCTATTATCTCATCACTTAGCATGTTTGGTGTGGGAGCGATACTGCAATAAACAGAAGGAACAGAAAAAGAAAGAGCGACTCTCTAACTGTGAACATCAGCTGGGAAAATACAGGAGAATAACCATGCTTGTGTGCACACAGAGGTTAACTTTAAACATCAATTTTAAGAGCACAGGCACTCAGGAATGCACAAAAACAATCTTAGTCCACCTCATGCCCCCCCACCCCCCCATCAAGTCAGCCCAGAGGGTCTCCTGTTTCAAACAGCCCCTGACTTTCCACTGAAAGCGTTGTAGAGTGCAGGGAGGTAGAGGACACACATTACCGTCTGTATTCCTCAACGCAGTCGGTCCTCTTGGTTTAGCAAACAGCTCAAGTTCCTATACAAACACCCAACTCTCCCCTGTGTGTGAGCAGCAACTCCATGTCAGAAGATGATTTGTTCAGACAGGACAGTTTACTCTGGAGGAGTTAAGTGTATTGGTGTCAGAGTTACACTCTGAGCTAGTGACACAGTCATAAGTAAGCCATATTGACAAGCGGCTTATGATTGTGATGCAGAGTGGGGGGGATTAGTAATACCTCCAAAAGTCAGTGCACATGCATCTGCATATCGTGACATATTTCTTAAAGTGTCCAAGCATCCATTGGGTGACCTATTTAATGCCTTTTCTTTTGTATATATAAAAAAAAAAAAGTGCAGGAAGACGAGCCTTGAGCATAGGAGAGCACTGTGGCAGCCATTTATGTGTTCATCCCATCTGTGAGAGAGACAGAGTAGAAAGAAGAAAGGTGCCCTCTAGACTAGATGAAGGGAAATCAGTGTTTGTTTTTGTAGCTGTCTGGTCAGGATGAGACTCTAACAGGGCCTGATGAAGTTATTGTTTCAGGGTCTGCCGGGTCAAATCAAAAGTGACACGCGGTTTTAGAGCCAATTTTGGCGGCGGGGCATGAGTGGGGTGTGGTGGAGGGGTGGAGGGATGGGAAAAGAAGCCTCAGCATGACAAGCAATCACGGCGCTTAATATGACAGAGCTGGATGCGGCGCTGCTGCAGAGAAGAGGGTGTGTGAGCGTGTATATAATAACTTATGAAATATGTCAGTGAAATGACCTTTATGTGTGTGATAGTTGGCCTTTTCAAGCTGTGTGTATTCGCCCAACATTTATTTACATACGCCGCCTCCTCTGTGTGTGTGTGTTGTAGACAGCAGAGCACGTGGAGTTTGCACATTGATGAGGGTCTGCTGGACCAATTCACTGGGATTGGGTGGCTGCTGCCTCTCTCTCCCCAGGGCTCTTAAGGTGATAGGAATTTAATGGGCGGAGGCTGAGGAATGGGAGCGGCCGGGCGGGGGTTGAGGGTGTTGATGGGGCTGGATGGGTTGGGGGGGGTGGCAGACAGCCAGCTCCTCATTATAACAGGCATTCGCAACCATACACAAAGCCTTAATTAACTGCAGTGCAGAGACCAGAATAGTCAGGCTTCTGCAATGAGCCACTGCAGATGCAGCGCTGCGACTGAAGATGGATCCATCTATCCTTGTATTTGTTTATTTACCCATCTATCCTTCTGTCTGTCTGTCTAAAACAGGATTTTTCAATGTTAGTGTATAAGACAGAGGAGCAAGAATAATGAAAGACCCGCATCAATTGTTATGCATAACCAAACAGGGCTAAGAGTTCTACTATAAGGCTGTATTTAGGCACAGTGGTGCTTTTAGTTGCTGCTAACGGGATTCCTACATGCTCAGGATAACAGTGCCAATGTGCTGAAGTAGGCAGTAACAATATTTATTAAGTTCACAATCTTAGTTCAGTGCTTTGGCATGTTAACCATTGCTAATTGGCATCTAGTTAAGGGAAAGAGACAAAACAGAGTATTTCTGACTCATGTTTGACCCGATGAGGCCTCTACATGAAAAGCTTCCCATAATAATTGTGGATATATTTTAGTCTAGGCTAAAATGATGTACCAATTAACACTTCCATCTAATAAGCAACGCTGCCAGCATGGCTGAAAATACAGGTTACGATAAAGTTATTATCCGTCAGATTTAATCAGCATTGGACATCCAGTTTTATTATCAGTTTCACCACAAGAAGAGCAGGAAAGTGCTGCTTCTGCTGTTTACAGCCTGCAGATACCTGCTAGCGTTAGCTGCCTGGCTATGAAGAGCTCAGACCAGTGCAATCACCAGTAAGTCTGTTTTTAGTCCAGCTGTTCTCTAGATGTGACCTTTTCCCTGATGGAATCATAAAAATCCTGTAATTTGTGGCTGGTGCACACATTGTGTAACTATTCACACATTCACTATTTACAGGCTGATCTATTCATTGATCTGTGAGTGATTAGTTGTGCCTTGTCATATCTCCACTGTTATTACATTTAAACCCACGGAGTATTTTCTTATTAAATCCATGGGGGAATATAGAATATAGTGAGTTGCCCCTGGTGACCCCCAATTTTGTCACAACAAAGTTAAAATAGCTCGAGGAAAAGAAGGGATATTCATACAAACATGCTGGAAAGCATAAAAAGTGTTGAGGCAGCCTGAGGATGACTGAGCAGTCAAACACATATATTGCACTTATATGCCAATCTTAAGGCTAAGTTACCCGTAGAGATCGGTGAGGATTCTTATCTCTTTTCCTGCCCATTTTTAAGCTTTTCGTGACTGGAAATGATGTTTCAGAGGTGCTGCAGCCTGGAAAATCTTCACTCCTGTTCTATAACCTGGCTAGTATCCTGGCAAGAAGCCAGTGTGCTCTTTGCTGCTTAAACAGGGCATCTGGGTAAAAGAAGGCGGGCACAAGCATTTCTAAAGGCATTATTATCCGCCTTAACAGCAGCCTTTGGTTGGATCACCCGAGGGGGCTTAGTTTCTGATAGCATAGCAAGCATCACGGAGGAATGAGAAGCGCTCTGACTTCGATTTCCTTTCCGAATCATTGTGGTAATGACCCCTGCATGTCATAGCATCTTGTGCAGCTGGGGGAAGAGTGGTTATTTTTACATAATACACAGTGGAATGCAGTGTGCTGTGCCCCCTCCTCCCTAGCTGACAGGTAATCAATATGAAGGAAGACGTGGACTCCTTCCTACTGTACATCTCACACCGGCCTTGTCATTTTCTCCCGAGACTTTCCCCCCCCCTGCAACGTCTCCAAACAAAGGAGGTGCACTTTAATGTAAAAAAGTTTAAAGTGAATCATCACCATTACAAGACAAGCAACATG